TACTGCACGGAAAATATGCGTCATTCAGGGTCTGATTTATTACCCTCCTCGTCTTTAGTACAAAGGATGCCGACCGTCGATCGGTCACTGCTGGCGGGCAGACTCCAGATCCGCCGAGAATCAATATTGCTTATACCTAATAGCATTCTAACGATTTGAATATTCAAATATATGAATATTATCTATAATTATAATGCTTTGAATAAATATATGGAATTTAAATATTCACATTTGTAAACATCCCAACATTTATAGTTCCTATCGTCGGGAAATTTAGTTTGTGAGTTCCAATTATATTTACTAATATTCTAATATAGGATAATTTGAATATTCAAATCAAATTACCAACAATTATGAAAGATTTCGATGTCTAATCTACAAGTTGATCAGAATCGTGTATTTGACGCCAGGATACCTGCGTTTGGATCGAAAACACCGCTGTTCTTACGTTCGTTGGTACTTTTTTCTAAAAAATCCATTAGGAGAACTCGACACTTCCACATCAGTATTCCGTCGGCTTGCGTGCGTATGGCAAATCGTTTTCTACCAGCTGTGTGCGTGATCTTTTTCGGAATTCGTCCTTTACCGGTCGGTCCTTTCGGTCTTTTTTTTTTCGTCCTTTTTTTTGTGTGTTCTTTCTAAAGGCCTCGCCTTCCCGTCTGGATCTGTTGGCCCGGTTCAGTCATAACAAGTTATGATGTTACGAATGTGAGGGCTCAACCATATCATGTTTTACGCCAAATCTGACCCGGATTGAAGGTTTCACCGAATTTTCATTCCTTTAGGCAAGAACAACAAAATACAGCAACTCGAGTAGATTTCGTGTTTACGTTTGAAGGGAATTTTCCGTGATATTATTTATTTTCGTTTTCCCTCGAAAAATTAATAAACAACAACTAAAAATATAACAGATGTAGATATTTTTAAACATTTGGGAATATCTTGTTTTTGTTTGAAGTATCACAGAATTACTTCCTTTTTTGTTTTCTTATACCGTTATCAATGACGCAATAAACATCATTAAAAACAGAATAACTTTAGCGATGCATATACAACATTAGTATTTCCTGATGATATTGCAGTAGATATTAATATTTAGCAAGGAGTATTGTATGAAAATAAGTAACAGTACAACAAAAGTACTGGCATACAAGGGCAGAAAAAACGAATATCAAGATAGGAGACGAAAAATTAGAAGAAGTGGCTGATTTTAGGTATCCAGGAAGTCAGATAAGTCAGGACGGAAGGAGTAGTAAAGATATTAAGCAGAGGATAGCGCAGGGTCGTGTCGCCTTCAATAAAAAGAAGTCACTTCCATGCTCGCGAACGATTACTTTAGGAATTCGAAAGAATAGGATAACAGAGGACTCTATTGAAATCAATAAGAAATAGGCGGGGATAGGTTGGTAGGACACTTTCGCAGGCATGAAGTTCTAGTTAGAGACATATTAGAGGCAGAAACAGGAGTTAAGAGGAGTAGAGCTAGGCCTGTATTAGATTACTGTTCAGAAATAGTTAAGGATATGAGATGTTCTAGTTGCAGGGAAATGCGAAAATTAGCTCATGATAGGAAAAAGTGGAGACTGACAACCTTATGATGATGATATTCACAATTGACAAATAATTCCCTAATAATAATGATCAGAATTCCGTTGATATTCCCAAAAGTAATACTTTGAACAAACAATCGACCGTAAATTGTTGAAATGTATTCG